TATATGTGTATATATGTGTATATATATATATATATAATATATATATATATATATATATATATATATATATATATATATATATATATATATATATATATATATATATATATGTATATATATATATGTATCATCATCATCATCATCATCATCATCATCATCATCATCATCATCATCATCATCATCATCATCATCATCATCATCATCATCATCATCATCACCATCATCATCATCAATGTGCAAATACTACGCTATTTGTAAGCATTTATTGAAAATTGTTTGAAGTATTTTGAACATTTTGTAACTATATTTAGTAATTTAAATTTTAGTATTTATTAAAGGTTTAAAATACTTAAAACAATTTTTAATTAATATTTACAAATAGTCTAGTATTCGCAAAATTAAAATAGTGATTTTGCTTACTAAATGCTTGCGCTTTGTACTCGAATAGATACTGTCTATAATATAATATAATAAATTATATAGACCAAGGGTGTACACTTGAACTTTTGGTCGGTTGCCAGAAGAATAACTGAAAGTAACCAGTTTGTTAATTTTGGTCCCCCACTGACTTTTTGAGTTGCATATCGCTTTTTTATAAATATATAATTAGCCGATTTCTTGCATATTCTAGTCATTTTTCATTATAGGGCAAGTATAGACTAGAAATAATTTGCATAAATAAAAGTAATATTGTAAACTTTTGATAACATTTATTTTTCTACTTTCAGATAAAGCACATGTCGATATATATACACAATTAGGTTTTTCACTTGAATTAAGCCCTTATCTTATCAAAAAAATATGTTCTCTAATAAAAAACAATTTACAAATACTTTAAAACCCTTTGTTTTTGATATGTTGTAATTGTTAAAATCTTTGCTTTGTTAAAGGAGCTTAAAAACTATTGGTATTTGAAAGTATTTGAAAGTATTGCATTGTAATTAAATATAATTTTAAACTGCGATAAAAATTATTTAAATTAATTTAACAAAAATTATTAATAGAATCTTTACTTAGTATTTAAAAAAGGTTATATTATCTTATGACATATTTCTTAAAAAAATCTTATACATAACAAAATTTTTTATTTGTTTATCATAATTTATTTATTTTAATTTCAAGTCAGCTAGTAAACTATATTGTTTACCACTTTCAAACACTATATGTAACACCTGTGCCCCACCATTCTCAACAATGTTCAGGTCTGGAGATCTAGCTGGCCACTTCAATATTTCAATTTTTATGCTGTTGAAATACTCCATTACTATATTAACTGTATAAACGCTAGCATTATCTTGCTAAAAAACAAAATTTTTACTACTTATTACAGATGTTTGACGTCTTAAAAATTCTTGAACAATTAAAAGATAATCCTTAGCCATCATTTTACCGTCAATAAAATGAATTTTTGATTTACCATGATACCCAATCGCAAACCAAATCATTATACCCCCGATATGTTACTGGTTCTTTACACAAACCGTGAAAATAATAAATCCATCTATTTAGCCCATCAAGACAAAATCGTTTCTTGTCAGAAAATACTACTTGTTTCCATTCTTTATTCCATATTATATAGTCCTTTGCAAAAGTTATTAGATTGTTTATGTGATTTGTTGTCAAAGGTGGTTTTGGCTAATTTTTTGTGTGAAAGGTTGAAAAGCATTATGAATAACTTGCTGAACTGAACGTAAAATAACAATCACATATGCTTCTGCAGCAATTTGACGTGCAGTTAATAAAAAATTTGAAGCTTGTCTTAACAATCTTCGCCTATCATGGTCATCTAATGTTGATGGATGTGCAGGACTTTATTTTATTCCATACATATGAGGACTATACACATAGTTTTTAATTACAGTTTGGCTGTGTCCAATAGCTCTAGCTATGTAACTAACGGAGTGACCCATTTTCGATAAGTTAGAGAGCACTTTTTTCTCATCTGGACTCAACAATGCAGCATGACCCATTATTAATTAATTTGTTATTTTATACTTAATAAAAAAAATACAAAACTAAATTTTTCACGGTTCACAAATGTTTACAGTTAAATAATCTGTGGTGTTTACATCAAATAAATATTCTCAATTGCCCACAACTGTGGTTTGTAAATAAAACATTTTTTGTAAAACTGTCTTAATTTTGTCGCACTGAAAAAACTTTTTTTTTTTATAAAATGCAAGTTACGTTAAAAATAAATTTGTTAAAATGTTGTTTAGTGTTGTAAACCCTTTGCTTTCCTTTACAATAAAAATTAGTTTTTTAAATATAAATGTATATTAGAGTTTTATAAATATTTTTGGGGTGTCTTATCATTATGTCGCGCAGTGTAAATATTTGTAAACATAACTTATGTTCATAAATGTATTACCTCAAAAAACTTAACGCGATATTGAATTAATAAGAAACAAAAAATACTTTTGTGAAAAGAATTCTCTTAAACAAAAGCACTTCTCCCTTTTTATAAGAAAAAAAAAAGATTTTAGTTTCCTTTTGCTTATAAAAATCTATTCTAATCTATGATGGAGTGAATTATATTTTTTGTAATTAGTTAGCAGATGATTAGAAAAAAACTTCTTTAATAAAAATTGAAAAACTATTTTACATTCATTTGAAACTAAATTTTGTATTCAATATTTTACTATTTTACATTCCTTTAAAACTAAATTAAAATCTTTAAAATATTATAATTTAAATATTCAATTTAAAGTCTTTTAAAATTAAAATTTATTTTATAAAACAATTTGTTTCTTTAAAAAAATTTTAGTTGCGATAAAATGCTTTTTTTTTTTACGACCTAAAACTTTCTGAATAAATGTCACATAAACAAAGTTAAAATAGTATTATTGTTTAAAATTATAAAACCCAAGAAAAAAAGTTCTATAGAGTTTTATAAAATTTTGAAACATATGTCCTATAGAAATTTTATAAAATTCTATAGAATTTCTATAGAATCTCTGTTAATTTCTATAGAACTTTTTTTTTCTATTTTTTTTTTCTGTAAAAAAAAAAATAGAAAAAAACTTTTTTTTTTCTGTAAAAAAAAAAAGTTTTACAGCAATTCCTACAGCAATTAATAGACATTCTATAGAAATTCTATAGAACTTATATAGGCCATATGTTTCAAAAGTTTATAGAAATTCTATTAAAATTTTTTTCCTGGTAGTTTTTTTAGTTTTTATTTAGGAAGTAATTTATTAAATACATTTAAACGCTTGTACTATTTACTTATGTTCTAATAAGTACTATTGTTCTAATAATTATTAGACAATAGACATTCAAATAGGTATTTGAGTAAGTGTATTCATTAATTATATACACCTTAAATGGGTGTATTTATTATTTTCATTTTCATTTTAATTTCAATGTTCTGTTCATTTAAATGAGGGAGGGGGGGATAGTAATTATAGTGAAATTAATGATTAAAAGTAGATATATAATTTAAAAAATTGCATACATTAAATAATTTATATTAACTATAGGTTTTTATAAAAATTAAAGACATTAAAGTTTAAAAATCACTAAAATTTAACAAAACTTTTATTAAGTTATTGTAATTGTTTCTTTTATTATTATTAAAGTTATTATGATAAACTCTTTATTACTAACAAGAACTAACATTACTCCGAATAAATACTTTAAAGTCGTTCTATCTAAAAAACAAATTTTTTATACATTCCATTATCTTTAAATTGAGTTTTGTAATAAGTTTAAACTTATTATTTTTTTTATATCTAATGTTTGGTTAGTAACCAAATTACTATTATAAATGTTAAACAAGTTATGACACATAATTACTTCTTAGTCCATTTTATTGTCTTGAAA